GGTGGGGGGGGTGAGGGGAGACGGGGACTGGAACTGGAACAGAGAGAAAAGAAAATATAACGCAGATCAGTTCTGCTTCTGAGAACCCCCGTTCTTTGGTGAAATGACACAGTGTTTACCTGAAAAGGAAGTAATTCTTCAACCGTGCATTCAGAGGAACAAGTATTGCCTCCCCCCATTCCCCAGCTGGCAAGCCAGCTCTCGCATTCCTAAAATATCCGGAGATAAAAATATTAGCAAGGCCCCGAGCCCAGTGTCTGTGTTTTGGCCTGGATTAAACCAGGATCCTAATCCAAATTTGGCAACTACACGAAACTTTTAATCTTTCCTTTTACCGGTTCCTGACCACCTCCAAAAGGGTCTGTGCCCGAAGTCAGAATGTGATGCTTCATTGCTGTGCAATTATGTCTGTTTCTGACACGTCCAACTGGCTGTGTTGCAGAATTTTTTGTGTTACACCTGTAAGGAGTATGTAGAAGACCTGGCAAAAGTCCCCAAGGCGTTTTTACAAGTAAGTACTCTGCCCTTAATAGGTGTACATGCGGTTGCTGGAGTTGAGCAGATTTGTTATGTCCTGCTGCAGGCTTGCGTGAGGCTTAAACCTTCTAGGAACCAAAAAAAAAAAAAAAAAAGGCTCAGAAGAAAGTTAGCGCTTTCACCATTTGCTACAATAGCCATAATGTATCTGCCTAGGAGACACAGGAAAGGATTTATTGCACTACATGCTCTCTTGCAGCAGCGTTATTTCTCCCTGCCCTATTAGCTCGGTGCTGTTTTTTCTTCTGTGTTCTGAACAGTTAGACAACATCTGACAGGCATTTCTGTTGGTATTAGTAGTGCCCAGGGCAGCTGTCTTCTCCTGACCACTAACTAACTACTGCCCTTTCCATTATGTCGGTACGGCTGACTGATGGTTGTGCATGGAACAAAATCAGAAAATTGATCTGGATTAAAAATAGTCTCTTTTTCTATGGTTATTTGTAAGCTGCATCAGTTGTGTGACCTGTTCTCCAGGCAGCTGCACAAACAGGAGTGACATAGTGACAGAAAGGAGAAATGGAGTGGGCAGGGGTTGCTATGGACGGGTATTTGTTGGGTGGTAGGAGATACCAGAGAAAGACAATGATCCCCTGCTAAATGTGGAAGGTCAATCTCTCTCTTCTAGGCTGCTGATTGAAATTCTGTCATATTTTATTCCCAACAGCAGCATAGCCGATGACAGAGACTCAGCTCCTTGCTGACATCAAGGCTTAGATGGACTAGGAGCTTGGGGATGAAAAGGGGTGATTTCTTTGGCACCTGTCCTTCTCAGGACAGATTTTTCTAAACCGCTCAATCAGTGTTACTCAGAATGACATTTGCTTGATTTGGCTGCTCAAATAAATGTGTACAGAGAATCAAAACCATCCATGCTTTTCTTAGTGTGAGTATTCTGTTTTTAGGAGGCCTTCTTTTCATAACGAGCAAAATGATTCTATATGGGAAAGGCAAGTATTATACCCTAATATAAAAAAAAACCCCAACATTATATTTTATTAACTGTTTTACTGGCAACTAAATGAACTTAAGTTTTGGCCTCTATTTTAGACTCAGGCCTAATGTTGCGCCTGCAAAAGACAGCAGTACCTGCAGATGCAAGTTATATTTATTAATGGGCATCAGTATATGTAAATCACAGATGTATATGCACTGATATTCACATGCTGCTTCTTTGCAGTTGCAGGTGCAACTGAGTGGAAATTCTGAATTTCCAAAATCATAGCAGGTTGCAATCAATTGAAAAGATGACGCTACTAATGCTACAGAAAAAGTTTACACATCTGTAACTGGAAAGTTATCCTCAAAAATAATTTTTCACTTAATTAATTAATGTAGCTGCTAACTGTGGGTGGTAGACAAAGGTGCAGGCTCCAAACATGTAAGTGATGTTAACTTCAAGTAATTTTAACTCAGTGCACTGTGATCATTAACTCAGGATACCAGATTCTGCTAATGCTTTGCAGCCGTGCAGAAACACCGAGCTCCTCTTTTCAGTTTCAATACCCATGTTCTGTTCTAGGAAGCAAATGTGAGGCTTATAGTTATTGGACAGTCATCTTATCATCACATCAAGGTAAATAAAGTAGTCATTAAATGCATTGTATCCTCTATTGTGTCTTAATGGTCTGCATTGAGGGATTTCTGCTCTGAGTGAAAAGATGGTCATTTGCAACCACAGAAAAAGAGGACTATTCTTTTTCATGAAGCAATTCTAATAGTGGTACATGAATAAAACAAATAACCAAGATGTTCAGTTTAAAAACCACTGGGGCTGGCTAAGGAAACATTTTCTTGATTTCACTGGAAGCTTTGTTTTAGTAAAAGCTTCAGGGCTAAAAATTTTTGGCCTTTAATTTAAACATGACAAATCCACAGGTTTCCAAACCGGGAGGTGGGGGGTGGCAAGGTTGCAGTATTCCACTGTCAGTAGATCCTAGCTAATTACTGTCTTAACCTTAAAAATATTACTTCTCTTGTATGCATATATTTTGCAGCCCTTTTGCAGTTTAACTGGGTATACCCACGAAATGTATGTAGATCCACAAAGGGAAATTTATAAAACACTTGGCATGAAAAGAGGTGAAAGTAATAACGTATCAGGTAAGAATAATTTTCTCGCTTTGTTTGGACTTACACAGAACAAAAAAGAATGCTGTGATAAAATAGTATGATCACAATGTAAATAAGGAGTTGCCCACCAGACCGTCTCTTGTAGGCTGTATTTTGTCAAAACACTTGTAGTCAGGAAACTGAACTATTCATAGCAGCTGTTCGATTTTGTTTTTCTCCTTACATGCTTTTGTATTTCTAGATAACAAGTATTTTGCCGTTTTGTTTAGTGCAGAGCCCTCATGTGAAATCAAACACGCTCCTGGGAAGTATTAGGAGTGTGTGGAGAGCAATGACTGGCCCGGCTTTTGATTTTCAAGGAGACCCCGCTCAGCAGGGAGGAGCTTTGATTTTAGGCCCAGGTGAGCTTCTTTGTTATGTTTGAAAGTTACAGTCTGCTCCAGTAGCTGTTTGCTTTAACGCTGCCGTGTCAGCTGCTGTCCCTGTGGATCCCAAGGAGACAGTCTTGTGTAGACCTGTGTTATTTTGCCAGCTGAAGGAACCCCTGGAAGTGTCATTGTGTAGTCCCACCTCCCACAGAGGTGGCACAAAGCTGATCACAGTCCTGCAGAAATTGATAGGAGTGCTGATGGAACAACTGCCTCAAAGTTTGGAGCGGTTTTCTTTGACATTGTGGTGTTCACCTACATTCTGCTTTCACATTTGATTCTAGGCATTTAATGCAGTTTTAGTAGAGGAATAATGCACGTAGCTGCAACATGACAAAGTCATCCCATCAAATCATTAGGAAACATCATGCTACAGCAGATTTAATTCAATTAGATGCCTCAATGTTCCTTGCTTCTGTAACTTAATTAAAAACAATCTATGTCATTGTTTAAAATATAGTATATTGTGCAATCTATAGAGCCAGTACACATTTGTACAAGAACTAGTAGTGAATCAGAATGCTTCTTTGATACACTTATGTCTTTGAATAAATAAATGTTTTATTCAACCATTTACATGTTTATTCTCATTCCGTTTCAGGTAATGAAGTTCATTTTTTGCACCTTGATAAAAACAGGCTGGATCATGTTCCCATTAACACAGTTTTGCAGCTGGCAGGAGTTAAAACAGTAAATTTCACAAACAAACCCCAGATTATTGACATATGACACTGACACAGCATATACATTTTTTTATTTGTGCTCTACAAGGACAGTTCTCCAGTGAATTGCCACCAGCATTGGTACTGTTGGGTCTTTATGGGACATCTGAAACCCTATTTAGAAAATCAGAGCACAGAATAAACTACTTTATTTATGGCATTGAAGATGGGCATGAAAGTGCTATTTCTACTCTGTGTAAGATAACAAAAACTAAAACACAGCTGAGGCTTATTGCAAAAAATCCTGTAGCTTAGTATTTCCTCATCAAACAATCTTGCTAATATATATTAAAAATCTTTGTTCAAGATACACTACATTAAAAAATCTGGTTTTGCTCAGGAAGAACTTTGGCTTCTTGCCTTCACACTGGCTTTCAATCCAGTACTTCTCAGCGATGTTTCAAAGCTTCCAGCACCGTGTGACAATCTTGCATTAAAATACACCTTGAAAAATCACAGTTTCAAACACTGGGACTTAGGCTTATACCTACTTTTGCATCTGGCACTGGCAGATGTTATGAAATATTTTATAGTTTTAAATAAATATTTTAAACGCATCATCCATTGTCTGCAATTCTTTTGTGGCATATGAAAAGATGGGTCCGTAAGACCAGGGAGGGGTGTGTCTGAAACATATTTCTGATCAGATTGTCAGTTTTGGAGTAGGCCATAGTCATTTAGTTGTTTTCCTTTGAAGATTTGCAGCAGAATGTTCTCCCCTCTGTGTGTGTGTGCGCTTTCTCTCGGAGAGCAAGAGATCTCTGAATCTCTGTCCTTGGTTATTTCTGTCCTAGACAACTGAGCTAAGGGCAACAGCATTTTGGTTTGCAGTTCTGTCAGATTTCATATTATCCATTTTTCTAGAAATATTTATGTTCAGAGTCTACTGCTTTCATTAAAGTAGATGTGCCCTCTTTCATCTGCAAGCCACCTCTTTTCAGCAATTTTAAAATAAGATTGTCTGAGATTTACGGAGGAGCATATCCTCCTCTGCAGTTTCTGATCTTTGGCCCTCACTGTAAAATGATACTGTTCATACATATCTCACCTGCAAATTCCCTTTTCAAGCCTTAACACTAATGCAATTGTAAAACAGCATTCTGTGAAGAGGTTTGTCCCTGCATCCATTAAGGTCACTGGCAGGCCCAGAGCAAGCTCCAGAGAGCTCTACACCATTAAGAGCATGTGAAATTAAATGCAGTGTTCCTTGACGAAAAATAAAAGGCTTGCTTAAGAAACATAATGATACTGAGCAGTGTAATTCCATTAAAAGTACTACACCTTGGCACCTTATTAATTACCTACACATTTTGATATGGTGTGTTTAGAAGGAGGATGTTATGAATGTAAAAATAGTCTGTTCAGTTCCGTGCTTTGACTAAACAGCACTCAGCACAGGGCTAAAAGTAGTCATGTGCAGACTCCGAACCCACGTGATTTCAGGGCTGGCCAGAGGCGTAGGGGGCGGGCCCCAGCCGCTGGGGCTCCCAGGGCAGGCAAGTCTGCTTTTCAAGACCACTGCCCCTACATTCATAAATAAGCAGCTGCCCCCTCCCTCCAGGGCTCCCCCAGCTCACCAATATTCTTGAGTACGTCGGAAGCTCTGGAATGCAGCTGCCTCTGTGTTACTTAAACCACAGCAGAAAGCAAGCTAGAAAACTGGTCTTATGCTTGTAAAACAAAGAAAAGAAATGCAGAAAAATTAAATTGTTTTCAAAGAGAAAGAATGATTAATGTTCAGTTTACTTGTAGCGCTTTCACACTGCTTCATTCACCTGATCATCACTCCCAAAGACACTGGCACTTTTGGTTTGCAGTCATTTCACTTTCACTTTCTTGGTGCTTTTGATTTTAAAGGAAGTGTTTGGCTAGCTGTTTTTCCGCTTTTTTTTCTTTCAGTGGAATTAAAATAATAGGAATAGTTCTATTGCTGCATTTTGAATACATTAAATAAAACTAACCATAGCTAAAAGAACTCTGGACTCTTAAAAGGGATTGGAATTAAGTTGTAGTTTGACAGCTCTGTAGGTTGAAGTCATCCACCCTCACTATGTCAATACTGACAGAAGCCATACCATGGCCTCTGTGTTACTCCAGCAAAACCACTTCTTCAGAAAGATTTTCAAAATGCAGACAAACAAAAAGAGTGAAGAAGAGAGAGAGACGAGGATTCAGTAGAAGTACAGTCCTAATTAGGGCATCAGCCCTGCATTTTTTTGCTTGAAGATGGACTGTTGCACCTGGCCACGGTTTCAGCAAGTTCACTGGTGCCCTGCAAGACAATGATTCCCACGTGCGTAATGAACTGGAACGATGATGGCCATGCATCCATGGGAGAAATGGTTTTTGAAGTGTCAGCAGAATTTTAGAACTGTGCTGTTATTTAGAAAAAGTATTTTTTAAAAGTTATGCAGCGAAAGGTGGAAACCAGCGGGAGGTAATCACTGACCTCGTGCTCTGCAGATGGTAGAATACTTCAGCACAGGCTTTTTTCAGGGCCGATGAGACAGAGGTGGGGAGGGACAGGTTTTCAGAAGTTGTTTGAACTACAAGCTTGGTTTATCTCAACGCCTTCTTAAAATAACAGTGTGTTTTAAAGCACCGCTGTGCCTGAGCAGCAGACCCAAACCCTGCTATTTTAACTTTCCAGACAAACCCATTTAAACGTTCAGTCCAGAAGTCGGCTCCACGCACTGTGCCGGGCTAAAGTCATCCTTACGCAACGCCACGGTCCCCTTGGGACCCTCTTCCGCCATGTGTCGCCAGAGGCACCCGGGGAGACTGCGAC